TTGAATGAGAAATTTAAGCTATCATTTATATATACATATTTACAAAAATAAATTATCATTTATATATACATGTTAAATAATTTTAATATTTTTTAAATTCCTTCTTTTTTTCACCCTTTTCCTCTTTTTGAAATAATTCAAAACACAAAAAAAAATGAAGAAATTTAAAGTATGCTATAGCCAGTAAAGGATGCAAAATGTATTCGGAGCTTTCGTAAATTTCCAATAACTTCTCGCAGCTTAAATATTTTTTCACTCTTGTGAACAAAAACAAAAAGAAAATCATTTCAGTAACTAAGAAAAAAAAGTAATTGTAATAAATCGTAGCAAATTTAAGAAAAATGTATGAATTCTTATCTTATGTAAAATTTAAATATCGATTTTTTTCTTTTTTATGCTTTCGACAATAAAAATACTAACATTTCTCTTTTTTCACTGTTATTTTTCTCACTTCCTAATCTTCGACTATTTATTCATTTTTAAATTTATATTTTAATATTTGCGATATTTATAGTGATGAAGTAAGTCAATAACGAGTAATATTATCAGATGGAAGTGCTTAGCTTCTTGCTATTAAAAAAAAGGAATTCATTAGTTTAATGGATGGTACTATATTAAGGATGATGATTTGTAATTTGTAATATGCTATTATTATAAAATGATCGCAGGTAAATGAAATCAAAGAGAAGGGACAACATTTTTGAATATGGAGCAACCTTTTTTTTAAAATTTGCACTCGATCATATAAACTTTCATAAAGTAAACTTTGAAAAATATCACAAAAAACATGGTGTAGACGAAGAATTTTTACAAAAATTTTTAATTATCTAATTTAAAATTAAGAAATTAAATTGGAGAAGTGAGTAATAAAATTGGAATAGTGAGAATTTTAAGAGCGTACAGTAATTTCATATATCATCAATTAAGGAGTTTATCAACAATTCAAAAATTGTCCTCAACTTTAATTTAAAGCTTTTGTTAAAAATCATTTACTGTGTTAGAATAAGACTTAGACAGTAATATTGTTGTAACGATTGAACAAAATTTAATTAATTTTAGCATTTGTTTTCTTCAAGCAAACATTCGGGGTCAAAGATTAATTGCAGTTGACAATTGTCATTTGTTCATACATGTAGCGGTCAGAAGATGATGAACTTAGGTGAGAACGATTTATTTGTTCCATACTGTTTCCTTTCCAGATAAACGTTTCACAAAATACATACAGCGAGAAAGAGAGAGAGAGAGAAAGGGAGAGGGAGAGAGAAAGAGTAAAACTATGTGATACAAAAATGGATTAATAATATTCGAGTACTACTATTCGCTAAACTTCTTCCTCATCTCATACTACTTCACCTTTCACCTCTTATTACTTATGCAAATGATAACAATAAGAAAAGGTTGAAGGGGACACTTTAAATATAATTAGAATGATCCACTTATTCATCATATCCCAATAAGTATACACTTTTTAAGGTTCTCTCAAACAGATCAATACAGTAGTGTGTAATCTTTCTTTTAGAATCATATGATCTTTATTTATTATCATCATTCCGATACCAATTATCCATCACTTCATTCTTTTTTGCTGTTAAATTAATTGGAGTTTTAAATTTTTTAAATTAAAATAATGTAAATTTTAGCGATCTATTTAAGTGCCGACAAATATTTGTTCATAATATTATTTGATATATGAAAATATATCATTTTGAGAATAATATAAACAATTGGGATTAAGAATGCTTTTAATTTCGAAATATCTTTCAGTTTTAATAGAATTTGATTAAAATTATTTTCAAATTACTTTGAAAATAATACTTCAATTAAAATTTTAGAGATAAAGTTTCCATGTCCATTAAAAAAAATTATATGTTTAATTAACAGTTATATTATCTTGAGGAAACGGTAATTTTCGATGTTCTTATATCGATAATATGTAATTAGCCAAAAAATACAGCTGTCATACATTAGCAATAGTTAATTTTCGATTTTTCTATTGTAATCAGTATTAAATGAAACTAAATGAAATATATTTGGGAAAATTTGCAAAATCTCTAAGTTTATTTCAATTTATTTATTCAAAATTTTTAATTGCAGTAAGTATATTTTGGCTAAAATTTTCATCCATTACAGATATCATATAATCGTATTTGTTAAAAGTTAGTCTGCTAAATGTATTTCATGAAATGAAATAGAACATTTGAACCAATTTAGCCTATTATTATTATTTATCTTTCTTTTAACTTAAACTCATTCTACTCTTTAACTTTTTCTTTTCTTATTATTATTGCCAGTGTTCGGTTTGTCTTTATTTTTCTTTTATCATTTTTCAATTAATAATTATGAAATTTTTAAAATTCAATTTTATTATTTATAATTACCGTATTAAAAGTTCAAACAAAAATATCGAGAGTGAAATGATGAGGAGAAAAAAAAAAGAAATGAACTAAATGTGCAACTAAAAAATTTACATATTAGATCCAAAACTGATAGCACTTATTTATCGTCGATGAAGCAGAAAAGAGAGTATTAGGAAAGGATAGCTAAGGCGATGTTTCGTAATGCAAATCCGTCGCAGCTGTCGCAATGATGGTATATATTATTGTATTTTCTTTTTTCTTCTTCCATCTCCTTTCTCGGAAAAATTAAAAGTGAGACATAGGGAGAGAGAGACAGAGAGAGAGAAAGAGAGGGAAAGGGAAAATGATGATTTTAATCGTAATGAAAAGTGTTTAAAATATACGACAGGAGATATTTAGGGATAAAATAATTTTAGTTTGATCATAAATGATCATAAAAGATTGCCATCCTGCTAGAATCAATTCTTCTCATTCTGAATAGGAATTCAAATTTATCCTCACCAATTAACTTATATTTAAAATTACAATCAAATATTTTAATTGCCGATTGAGCTGATCATTTGAATCATTTTGCTAACAATTGTATGAAAATATTCATTTTGATTAAGTTTGAATAATAATTTGTTTGACAATAATCTTCTGAGTGCAAAATAAAATACTAATATAAATGATAAAATGAATGAAAGAATGAAATGAATAAAGATATTTATGCAAAGTAAAAGTTACAAGGAAGATAATCACTTATTTCAAACAGCTTATTACTTAATAATAAAACAAATTCATGAAATTCAAATCTTTTTTTCTTCTATTTTGATATATTATTTGGCTATTTTCCAATATATTGAACATCCTATGATTTATATAATCAAATCAAACGATACTATCATAAGAATTCATACTGTAAACATTGTAAAATAACGAATGAAAAGAAGCACGAAACGATCTCATTTTGTGATATCAAAAGATTTCACATTAGAAAATACATTAGAAAATTATACATCATTTTTAAAATATGACAAATTAATGAGTTGTAGTGAAAAATAATCAAAGGAAAACATGGAAATTTACAGAAGTTTTGAATTGCATACTAAATCAAACAATTAAAAAATGATGAATTAAATCAAATAATTTTTTTTCTTCTTTGACTTATTTTTTACTATCATATCGCATTTTTATTTCATTTTTTTACAATTCTGCACAAAGTTATTGAAATGATGCTGGTTAGTATAAGTAAACATTTTTAGCTGATATTTACGATACAGTAATATCCTTCATTGTCGGAATATTTCTTTGACAAATCATCTGATAACCATACCACTTAATTAGCTTAAAAAGCTTTATCGAATCATATTACAATGATATTGTAGAATTTTTGGATCATACTTTCATGCTTCCATGCAAAATTACAAAAAATCTATCATAAATAATTGAAAATATTTACTCCCCACTAATTAAATATGTTGAGTAAAATTTATATTTCATAGATTTCTTAATTTAGAAAAAAAATTCGGAACATACTGCTCAATGTATCATTTCCTCATGCTATCAACAAATCATTGTACCGAATCATTATTTACAATAGTAGAAAACTATCTGCAAATGCTCATGAATGAAGATGAAATTTTGATGCATTCACGCGATACAGATAATCCTTTAAGCATTTCTATGCACCTGAAATAATTTCACCAAAATTCTCATTTTCGGCTTCATTCGTCCTCCTTTTGTACTTTTGTTATTGCTCAATCAGGCAAATATATTCATTCTTTCCATCATAAAAATACTAATCAAAGTACTTAAACATAAAGTAAAGTGCATACAATTACAACTGGCAATCAAATATTTATGAGTAAAAATGTAATACTTTCAAATGGAGGGACAGATGGAAATATGTATTATATACAAATATTGGAATAAGTAGGAGAATGTTAGATGTACGCATGATGGTTTAAAATAATAGAAAAGTTAGGTCTAAAAGTTTTTCCATCAAAATCGTCCCAAAAAGTACACTTATTTAAAATACAATAGAAAAGAAGGTTCAAAACCAGTACAGTGCATGTGATATCATCAGGAAATAAATAAAGTAACATAATTTAAAACTTTTACGAAAAATTCAGATTATTTTTCATTCGAATGAAAATATAAAATTTCAAAAGAGAATTTCAAAAAAGCTCCATGTATATTATTGTTTGAATGAAAAGAAGGATAAAGAAGTGCTTCTAGCATATAATTCGATATCTGAAAACAAAACTTTGAAATCAAGTCGGATTGGTCTTTTTATTTGATGCGCTATGAAGATTCTTATTACATATAACAAACAAAAAAAGAAATGCAATCATTCATTAACAGAGCATGTAGAGAGAAAAATTAAAGATTAATTTTAATAATATCACCAAGATAATGCTGTTGATATCAGTAAAATTAGGCCACAACAGGCCAAACAATTGAGTTAGTCTTTAGACGGGCATGAATTTTTTATTTGATGCGAATTAAACCATTTAAGCAGATCTTCAGAGCTATTCCAACTCCTCCGCGCTTAAAAAAGAAAAAATTCAACCATAACTGATCATATCTTAATTAATACAATATCGTTCACTATTTATAAAAACAATGATAATCATAAAATTACAATTTAATGAAAAAAATCTATGTAGGACTCAGGCGCTGTGGAGGTGCAGATATACGTTTCGTACTTCTTATTGATAGAACTTCCTCCTGAAATGTTCAAATTTCAAAAGCAGTGTTAAATACTTTAAAGTAGTCTCGGAAAGAATATGCTAACAATCAGGGAAATCTTTTGCTTTTTTCTATTGCAGAAATAAGTAAAAATTCTAGAAAAAACGTTGACTTAATAATGCTCTTCTAATCCTTATATGTACCAGTCAATTAGTCAAAATTCTTTTTTGCCATCAGAAATGTGAATGAAAATTGCAGTATCTGAATGAGAAAAAAAATTATGAATGACAAATTTATAAGATGAAAAATAAGGCATAGAGATCATTCCTACTGTTTTCGCGAATACTACGCATTGCAATGAATTAATTGAAATTTGATAATTCTAAAAAATATATTGAAAAATAGCGAACAGGATTTTGTTGAATTTTTGATATTTTACCACCCACAGTTTCTGCTACTGTTTTTGAATTCAGAAATACTGATTGGTTCGAAACCTAAAACACATTAATTATTAACTAGTTCCTATCAACAATCAGTTATAAAAAAGAAGAACAGCTGAAAAAAGATAAAACAAACGACCTCAGAGGGAGAAGCATCTTGATCATTTGAAGCAACATCAATGCTCTCATTGTCCACTTCTAATCCTTCTAGTTCATGGGCATTTGAAATCATCAAATTATCTGAAATCGTACTAATGCAATCCCAATCTGACAAAGCACGAAATATGATATCATCAAGGAGCAAACAATGTCATGAAAATAGTGAAAGAGGTGGAACAATAATTTTAGAGAAATATATTAAGGAATTATTGCGCAAATAATTCTGATATAAAAATAGCTGAAACAAATAAAATCATAAAAAATTTAAAAAATGCATCAAAAAAAAATATTTGTCAGTCAATTTTCTATATTTTCATTTCTTGATTAATAAATCATGTTCCTGATCACTTTATACTCGACATTTAATTTTCTTAAGTGAAAAAATTAAATGTCAAAAACCGAACAATTATATTTCATGTCTATGTGAAAGCTAATTCGACAACAATTTCAACGCTATATTTTCCATACGCTGTTAGAAATCATCAAGATTGTAGAATGTCTAAAAAGATTCACATGGATCACTAATATTCCTGTCATATTATGCCACGCTTTTTTATTTGTCATGGGCCATCTATTTTCGACATTTTTATGATATACGCAGACACTCAACCAAACAGTATGTCTAACAGAAATGAAATTAAAAACCTTTCGGTTCATAGAGTTCCACCGACTGATATCCATATGAACGATCACCGGGAAGCCTCTGAAAATATCAAAAGACAGAAGTGATCATTGGAACATAAGTAATCGACGAATTTACGGTGAATAAAGCTTAAAAGATACGACTGATACAACTAACCGAAATCATTGAATTTCCATCATAAACAAAATTTGAATAGCAAGCATTACCGTACTGAGCCTGTAAACGCATCATGAAATTCAAATTTTTTGAGTGTGATGCGAGTTTTGAAGAATTGCAATTCGATAAGCATAATCTCGCTTTTGCAAAGTGATCTGATAAAGCAACATTTTAAAAATTTACCTGCAATCTCCTCCTTTTAGGTGAAAATGCTCCAACATCATAATCGAAGTGTACATTGCTCTGCTGGTCTTCTCGACCTAATAATGAAATTGCGTTTGATGAACTCGGAAAGAGTTCAATATATCGACCTCCTAAAATATTCAAAACAAATTTTCTGACTGTGATGAACGTTGAAAAACACGTAAAATATTTAACATATTTAAGAAAAGACCTTGGAAAACCCAGCGAGAGCTTGAATGATCAAATTCAGATTTCATTTGTCTTGGCAATGCAAGCAATCTAAAAATTATAGCTAAATGATAATTTATTACTGATAAAGTGGAACACAGTACTTTAAAGAATAAAAATGTAATCAACTTTTGGAAAGCCGCTTCACCAAATTTTGGGAGCCCACTTCATCAAAAAAAGTGTCCCAGAAAATATAACCTTAAACGATAACATAAAATCTTTACCTTCGTTCTCCGCTTGCTGCCAGTTTAAGTACAGGTGCTGCTGAATTCTGGAAAAAGGCACTATCATTTTAAAAAATTCTATAGACTTTTAAAACTGCTACCCATACATGCCATTTAAAAGTTAATCTAACAATTAACCATAAAAATCTAACCTTTGAACGCAATATCGGTATTTCACGTGGTGGTGCCTTTAAACGAGAATGATAAGGACAATTCATTTTAAGTCTTTGGCAACAAGCTTGCGATAATTTGTATGGGCAGTTTTGATTATAAACCAACTCACAAAAATCATAGCCACATTTGCATTGAAACTCCAATTCTCGACGTCTTACTGTAAATTATTAAAAATTTCATTTTTGCACAGACGAAAAAATACAATTCTTCTCAGAAAAGTTTGAAATTTTTTTGGCAAATTGATTAAAAGCCTTGTTATCTATTTTCAAATGAAATAAAAATGCAATTTCAACTTGCCCGAACAAATGTATTATAACAATAAATAAGAACAACAAGCATACCAACATTCCTACGCCTTGCAAGATCTGCAGTAGAAGGAGCGATATCGTACGGTGAAACCCAAGCCGATAAAGAGCCTAAAGCATTCAATTTATTTGACTGGAATAACTTTAAACAAGCAAAATCAGCATAAAATATCAAATCTTCTTAACAATTCAAGAAAATGACGGATTGTAGGCAATATTCATTATTTAACAATCATCATAATTATATAGCATTTTTTTCTTTTATCTCAAAGCACTGAAAAATTAAAAGAAGTAAAGTTAACCTTCACCGGGCCATTGATTCGGTGGAAGATGATCGACATCAATGATATCATCCCAGTAACACACTTTATACATGAAATCTGGATTCTGATAATCCACTTCAACAATACTTGCACGATAATAGCGTGACTCATTATGACGCTTTTTTGGGCAATCCACGTATGTTTCTTCTTGTTCAAAGTTTCGAAGCTGTAATCAATTCAGTAACTAGTTTAAAGAAAGTTTAAAGAAAGGCCGAGAAACACTTATAAGAAGTAGAAGAAAACTATTAAGCTAAAACTACATAATCAAATTTTATAATAATCAAAAACTTACATAAACACAATCACCAACTTCATACAGATAACCAGTACCCGGATCGATAACATGACCTGCATCATTGAATTTTGCCGGATAACGGCCAAGTATACAGGAAATTTTAGCACGATTACTAGATACTTCGCTTAAATATACACTGGCTAATCTTTCCTCAACTTCAGGTCGTCGTGGAAGTGGAGTTGAGCGTATCATGCACATTTCCTGCATTTTGGAAAAACAAAAATGTAAAGTCATCTATTTTTTTATTTATTTATGAAAATGCTTTTTTTTGATTGTAAAGATTAAAATAAAGAACTTCCGTAAGCTTCGAATGAACAAAACAAAACAAGACTAAATGAGAGACAAAATAATTAGCCTAAAATAATAGGAAATAAGTTTAATTTATAATATTAATTACATAATTATCAAATTTGGAAAACAAGATAATTAGCTTACTGTTGCACCGCTTATATTCTCCACACGATTTTCTTCTACATATCCTAAATTTGAACATAATAAATATAAGAAACAGCTATAACAACTATACAGGAAATTTTAGCATAATTACTAGATACCTCGCCTAAATAGACATTGGCTAATTTTTCTTCAACTTCAGGCCATCGTGAAAATGAAGTTAATGGTATCATACATTTCCTGCATTTTAGAAAAATGAAAATATAGAGCTATCTATTTTCTTATTTATTTCAGAATAATGCTTTTTTCCTATCGTACAGATTAAAACAAAGGATCTTCATTTACTAATAGAGGAATTAGTGACAGAAAAACATAAAAAGTAAAGAAATTAATTCGAAATGAAGTGAAAATCGATGATTTTCACTTAATTTCGAATTAAATAGGAAAAACACAATATTTTCTTTCTAATTGGTGACTTAAAAAGCTGTTCTTTATCCCTTTCACACTATGCACCAAATCAGCCGTTCAGAGAAGATTCATACTCAACCATTTATTCAATTTTATCTACTAGTTAAGGAATTTAATGATAGAACAATATAAGAAATATAGAGATCATCAATTATCGCAAACCTTCCGCTTCATTTACATTTTCACCGTATAAACTACTGCGTACCCACGGTGGAATAGTATGATTTCGCCAGGGTCTTCGACCGAACAAAATCTGAATAAATGATCATCTATATACAAACTTTTCCTCATTCGCTTTTTCTCCTTTTCTTCCTTACTTTCTTCGGGAATCTAAGAATAATAAATTTAAAAAAAGACTAAAATATTACCTCAAATGGTGAAATTCGAAGGTCACCAAAACACTTCACCGGAGTCTGATTATAATCAATAACAGCAAAAGGAAGTGCTTCAACCCAACGTTCACGACCACCAAGTTCTTCGGCTGCACGTTTATACATACTAGCACACAGATTAGCATGATTCATCACCTGGAAAAGTAATATGAGAATGGTTTTCGATGATACAGAAAGATCACAGTTCAAATATTGTAAAATCACGAAGATTAAAAACATTACTATAGAAGAATCATATAACAAAGTATGGAAAAAAATTCATATTTTTAGAATTGCTGTGATAGTGGAATTCACTTATTATACTTTAGATGGAAGGAAAAAATTTCCCATAAAAAAAATTTTTACCATTTTGTAGCAAAATATAATATCATACAAACTATAGTACTTACACCGTGTCCAATATTTTTTATTTCAATTTTGAACAATTTCTCGATATCTGACATAACAAGTCCAATTACTTCATCATTTGTATAAGTCCGATAAGCTTCTAAAATTGAAATTCATTTTAGCACAATGATTTAATTCATACGATAAATCAAAAATGCATCACCACAATTGAAAAAGTGGAGAAACGAAAAAAAAATATTTTTCGGAAACATGCTTACCCGGCGGAGCAAAAGCTCCAAAAATATCCATTAAATGTCGAACAAGTAAGGAAGTGTCCGGTGCTTCTGCTAGTGCTCTACCAAATACAAAATGCGAATAAAGATCGGTTACAATCAATGCCATAGTATAACAACGATCGCCATATTCCGAACATTCCATTTCAACCATATCGATCTTAACCATTAATAAATAAAAGTATGTCTTTGAGATTTTAAGAAACGAGTCATTTCACAGAATTTACTAAGAAATGATTGACTGCAAATGAAAGAAACAATTAGATATAAATATACTTGTTATATGGTGCTAAATCAAGCCTCAATAACAGTGGGATTATCACACCGAAATACTTAAGCCATCCTTATAAATTAACAAAAAACTAATTTCTCTATTCCACATTTTAAAGAAAATGACTATAAACAATACAATATTATAAAATGAAATCACAACGCATTAAAAGTTAAAATGAATTATATTTTTCCAAAAATAGGAAAAAAATGTATAAAAAAGAAAGCTAACAAACCTGAACATATTGCATAGGTTTACTCCCAATACAACGTGGTTTGCTAGGAAACTGTACTCGTGATCCTTTCAGTAAAATATCTTTTGTTGCTGCTCGTTGCTTTGTTTTCAAACTTACACCAACATATCTTTCCTCTAGGTAAGCTAACATTTGCTTCTGTGTACAATCTGGCATTGTTTCGTAACATCGCCGCCAAATCTAAAAAGTAGGTAAAAATAAAAAAAAATTAAAATAAATCAAATACAGAAGTCAGTAACTATATAATTATCGAAATAATACATCATCAATTTCACTAATTCGTGGAACAATTTTCCCGGAATCACGCAATCGAATACGCCAACCAGAGGAAAGAAATTCATTCGGCTCTGACCAGTATTCGCCAATAAGTAAACCACCCTTCATCCGCGCCTATAAATAAACATAAGTCTTATAACATTATGTAATTGTTGTTCAGCGAGATAACCTGGAAAAGTAAAGAGAGTTTACAACATCCAATTTTTTTAGCAGATTTTCTATTTGCTGCAAAAAAACAAAGATACCTTAATGGCTTCTCTCAGAACAACATTATCAACATCATCGATTTTCAATTTTCTGGCCAGAATTTGAGCCAGTATATCATATTCGTTGTCGGGAATAGCCGTATTTAGCAAATTTTGGCTCGTTCCTAGCAAAAAATAATAAAATATAGTTGAACAATGAAAGTTAACTTCAGTTCGTTTTTGATCGAAGAAATACCGAGGCCTAAGTTTATCTTATAATTAGGATTGACAAAATAATTTAATTACAGTAAAGGCGGACAATTTATGAAATCTGCTTCAACTAGTTGTTCGCTTACTGGGAATTTATGAGCAATTATCACCTTTAAATTACAATTTTTTATGCAAGAAAAGAAACCTTTCCTTCGAACAAAATCTGAACTGGTTCCAGGCAATACGGAATCATTGGACATACCTTCACCAGCGAAACCCTGAGCACCAGAATTACCCAAATGTGATACTGCGTAATCAACATCGTCTTCTCCTGCTGTCATCAAACGACTCAGACAATCCATCAACGCATTACGTAGCTGAAGTAGACTTCTTACACTTCCTTCTTATTTAATTCAGTTATTAACTTCAGGTAGTACTATTGCGGTTATCATTCATTGATAAATTGAAAAAAATCGGGATGTCCTCTCGAATCTCATTTATTGGAACATTTGAAAAGATCATATTTTCAAATATGCTACATTTACATTACTTCATTTCCCTTTAAGGAACGTTAAGATTAAGAGGCTCACTAAACATGCAAAGAAATCATTCTCATGATAATTGAATAACCAACTCTGATAACTGAAGGGAATCCGATGTAATTTTTCTGCAGTAGTTGCAAACAGACACCAATTGGATGTTTGTCATTTTTAAACCGTGCCACAACGGATTCTATAACTTGTTCACGTTGTTCGCTGGTTAACAAAAGCCTTACAGAAGGAAGATGAACGATTACGTAATCAAGATGGCCAAGGAATTCATCGTCCACGTCACACGCTATCTAAACAATAATTCTTCTAACATTAACCTTTACTGGGGTCAAGAATATTTGCATTTTTCTATGAAAGCAAAAATTTTCTTTATTTTATTTCTTCATTTTAAGGACAAAAAGCGATGTATATATGTATAATGAAATGAACAAACAGTATAATCATCTCCTTGCACCATTGCATTTAGAATTCTTCTATGTTCTTCTGCTGGTGGAATCACTTCTCCACCAGTCATCAAAATAATGAAATCCGAATAAATAGAGTCTGTAATTTGATCTACCTGCAAAATGTTTATTATCTTCTATGGAAGTAAAGAAAGATAAGCTGTAAAATTTCGGAAGAAAACGAAGATAAGGAAAGTAATGACTTTTCCAATTAAGAGAATGAACTAATCACTTACACTGATTTTGAACGTACTGCCACACGCGTCGGGTGGTAGTTCTGCAAAAAATTAGATCCTTAATAAATAAGCAACATGAGAGAATACATGATAAAATTTAAGTTTCTTCAAATTATTTTTCTAACTAATAAAATGAAGCAATCACTAAAAAAGGAAATTAATAAACGAACTTTTAATCGGAACCAAAAATCATCGGAACCAAAATCTCAGGACAACTTGTATCTTTTTTTCCCAAACTTTCGTCATTCCCAAACTTTTTTTTCCAAAATTTACAGAATATCTGCGCATAAAATATCTAAGAGATCACTAATCATAAAACACTTTTTCTTGAAAAAAATCAATTAAATTAAAAATTTGATGGCATACTTGTTTTTGGAATAACTTGGTACATGAATTGAGGTTGTACAAAACGCAAAGAAGTAGTTTCGTTCGGATAATGATTATTCCTGGAGGAAGATTCCTGCAAGTTGCAATCAATAATGTAAAAGAAATTTTCAATTCGCCAAATATGCAAAAAAAAGAGCAGAAAAATAAACACAATTAATGTATTTCATTGTTGTAGGCAAAGCATTTGAACAATCAAATAAGGAATATTAGGATATTCAACAACTATAAGCCGGGAAATGAAACAAGTAAATTGAAACTAATTAACGAAAGCAACCAAATTATTCATTTCAATAAATTGAATCACTTCATAAAATTATTGCTACTTAAGGAAATGTTGGAAATACCTTTGTACTTCGATCGTCTTTGATTGATGTAGATTGACCTGTTGAACCATCCTGTTCATCGATGACAACGCTTGCACCAACAGCGGGTATACATCCTGAATTCAACGTCTGCTCTTCTTCTTCTTCCTCCTCTTCCTCCTCCTCACCTAACGATATGGAGGCTGGATCAATTAATGCCATAGAGCTGAAAAAAAATAAAAGCTTCTAGTTATAAAATATTTAAATCTGTAATACATTCAGTCTAATACGCTCAGTAAAGTGATTTTGATTCATCCCGAAAATTTACGTATACCATTAATTCACAAGCATATTAGAAAGAATGGAATATAATTAAGTGAACTGTGGATCATCAAAAATTCACCAATCTTAACAAAACTTTTTTCTTTTCAGGAAAAATTTACTTATCGAATGTCAATTTAACTGTTAAAAAAATTCCTCAAATTCTCCCTCACATATGTAAATTTGACTTAACTTACATATTAGGCTTTTCTGCACAATATATCAACAGATGAAACAGTCATTCTTCCAACGTGTAAAAGATAAAAAAAAAACGAATTATGCATAAATCAAAAAAAAAAAAGAAAGAAAAGGAGAAACATAAAAAATTCTGAAAAAAAGTGTGTTAAAATTAGCAAATTAAAAGTGAGTAATAGCATGTTCATTGATAAGGAAATAAACATTAAGAGAAATCAGAAAAGATAAGTTAAGACTAGAAGTTAATGAAAAGTAAAAACATGCAAAAGAAATTCAAAACTGATAAAAAGCACATAAGAAGTGTTGTCCTCTGAAAGAGAACAAACAGAATGATAAGAATTGTAATGAAATGAAAATCTGTAATTGAATAGGAATATAATAAAACGAAAATAAGCAAATATGTAATGATTGTAAAATATGAGGTGAATAATCGACACACTTTTCAATCATTTAGGGTTTAGGAACATGTTGCTAAAAGTTCTAAATTCAGATTTATTCGCTGTACACTCGGGATTGCTTTTACTTGTTAGCATAATTTGTTGCAAAATGTTAGAATCATTATAGCTTATAACTTTCCATATATTTTTTTTTCTTTTTGTAATCTTCCATCTTTCCATATTTTTCATATTATTGTCGATATTTTCGATCATAACGGATTACTTACTGTTCATTCGTCCGGTAACGGATTATTTCGCCTTCCAGTGTAACGGTTCATGGGTTCTTCCACCTTCTACTGTAACAGATCAGGGTTTCTGTATCTTTCATTATAACGGTTCATGGGTTCTTCCACCTTCTACTGTAACAGATCAGGGTTTCTGTATCTTTCATTATAACGGTTCATGGGTTCTTCTACCTTCTACTGTAACAGATCAGAGTTTCTGTATCTTTCATTATAACGGTTCATGGGTTCTTC